TCTCTCCGTGTGCTTTCCCCGGTTTTCTCCTGTTTACTGGTGAGCAGGCAAGCCCCGCTCTGGGGCATTTGTCTGGAAGTCTCCATAGCAGGCGGTCTGCACTGCTCACGTGGGTCAACACAAGTGCTTTCCAGACAGTTCAACAGCTCTCTGCACCTGCTTTCTTCCCTGCCACCACAAACAGGCTCTCCCTTCCTCTCCTGGGCTTTTTTCTCCCCAGAAATCTGAAGAGCCTTCCCTTGCCTTCGTTTTAGCGACCCATCTGTCCCTGCAGCCTTCCCTCTGCTGCCGCCACTTCCGCGTTGCTTTTTCGGTGGCGGGTTTGAGGGGGGCTGGAGACTGTCTTCCGGGATCCCACTCTTTCTGTGGGAATTCCTCTGCTGTGTCTGAGGTTGGCAGTCTGTCTTCTGGCTGGATCAGATGTAGGCGGCAAAGGGTTCTTCCCTCTGTCGGAGCCCGGATGCCAGCTCAAGCTCGCCATTCAAAAATAGAAGACCCGACCCTTCTCTCTCCAAGATCTAAAATTGCATGCATATATCGGCATATTATCCCTGCAACACACACGCTGTCGAGACTAGAACAATCATCCAGTCACTGAAGCATGTAGAGCATTGTGAGTGGAGGTTGTCTTCCCCTGCTGCTGTCCTCACAGGGAGAACTTTTCACTGAATTTGTGTGTTTGAAGCTGTTCCTTACTGATATCATGGCTGTGCATGTGTGTGCCATAGCACGTGTGTGGAGACCAGAGGACGAGTCTGTTCCATCCGTTCTCTCCTCCACCTTTACTTGCGTGCCAGGGATCAAAGTGAAGTCTCAAGGGTGTGCAACAAGCATCTTTACCCACTCTAGTGAACCATCTCGTGTTATACCCAGTTCGCGAGCCCCCAAAAGATCTACAGGAATCGACTCCGTTGCAAAACACATGAGGGTCTTTTTATTGTAAATTACAAGCTGCAGCTTGGGCCAACACAGCCCCACCACCGAAGTGGTGGGAGCTGAGCGCGCCGTCCCCAGGTTAGTTGGGTGATTTATAGATTCTGGTCCCTCCCAGCATAGCCAAGGCAGGGGCAATTCCTGCCTGGCAAGCATCTATTGGTCAAAATGCTACATTTTTTAATCGATTGGCTATAGGAAGGTTCCCAGGCCATTAATGACCAGGTGTCCCTTCCTAGGGGGATGGTCCAGTTTCCTAGCAACTGTATCTCTAGTGGGTGGGGAAAGAATGCAGCGAGGTAGCTCTCCCCTCAGGGCATTACTAACTACTTTACCGCACCTACTCTAGGTTTTAACGATAGCTGATAGCTGTCACTTTGGTCTCTCGCTAAATCTGAACTGGGGTTTTCAGGGCCCATAATGTGCGCATGCGTGATATATATATATATATATATATATATATATATACACACATATATATATATATACACATATATATATATGTGTGTGTGTGTGTGTGTGTGTGTGTGTGTGTGTAAGAGAGAGACAGTACACATTGTGTTTATAGCTTAGGGACATGAAATATGAAGTTTTCTTTGGATGAATTTGTACACATACACATTTATACTTTCCGTGTGTTAATAAGCGATCCATGATACTTTACCTGTTTTAACCTACTTTATAAAGGTTTTCACTTCCATGAACCCTTGTGCACGGAGAACGAAAACAGAACAAACTTCCATTTACAGAGGCTGAGCGTCTACCCCGAACGTGGCTGCTGTGGGGAAGACTGGAGCCCGTTAACCGTGGTTTCAGTGCAGCGTCAGCCACTGCAGGGGGAGACCGAGGCTGCCGCATGTGTTTTTGTTTACCGGCGCCGAGGGAGGGTCTGGGGAGAAGGAAAGGCTACGAGGAGGAGGCATGCCCACCTCTGCTGTAAACACAAACACGGCTGGGGAACCTGCCATGAGTCAGGCACTGTGCTGTTTCCTGAAGCAGTGTGTCCCCTGAACAGCCTCAAGTAAGTGTGATTGCCCTGGCCTCTGGGATGGAGAAGCTGGGACTGCATAGACTAAACCGTATTTTCTTCCTGAAGGCCAGGCCTCTTTCCACTCAGAGAATGCACAGACAGGTTAAGCCCAACGTGTCCCAGACTGCTCCGTGCCTTTGTTCTCCTCACTCTGAATTCCTCCCACTGAACGGAACTAAACCTTTAGTTTACTTCCTATCACCGCAAGACAGGCGGTGACCTACAGCAGCCTTCGGAAGACTGGGTGCGAGTATTTGGCTGATACATCACTGAGGGAAGCAAAGCAGAAACTCTGCCGGGCAGCAACCTGGAGGCAGGAGCTGAGGCAGAGACCCCGGGGGAACCCTGCTCACCGGCCTGCTCCCCAGGCTCTGCTCAGCCCATGTTAGTATGCCACCCAGGGCCACCAGCCCACACAGTGCTTTGGGCCCTCCCACAGCAATCATTAAACAGGAAGATACTCCACAGGCCCATTGGATGGAGGCCTCTTCCCAGATGACCCAAGCTTGAGCAGGTTTTCAAAATGTTAACCAGCAGAAGCCTCTTAGAGGAAGGTCGAATCTAGGACTTCCCGCTGCAGATACTTCACTCTCCAGTGGGCGCTCGCCAGTGCCCAAACAGTTATGTAAAGAGTCCTCACCTTTGACTTCCAATTCCTACCCCTCCTTTAGCCACCCGGCTTTCCTGCCTGCTTTGCTTCCCAGCCCCTGGCCAGCTGCACTGTTCCGTGTTCTCCAGGTAGCTGCTCACACCCCCAGCCCACTGCCTGCTCCCATTCAGCTCTCAGTGTCTTTCTGTGTCTGTGTGTGTCCACAGCCCGCTGACTCCTGGAGTAGACTGGCCGGGTCTGGCCTGTCACTGTTTTTCATCCCCTAATCAGAAGAGAGGGGGCAAAGGTGAGGGGCAACAGCTCCTTGTCTGGGAGTTTACAGTTCCACCGGGTTGGGAAAGGCAAGCGCACAGCATCAAAGGATAATTCAAGAAGATGCTTTAGGTGTTGCGCAGACCTACTTAGTTTCCACAGTTGGGTTTTACTGATGTGAATTTTCACCTCTGTTGATGAACTTGTCCCATTTGCTGCTGTACCCCAAACAGCTGGCAGGGAAAAGCCTGTTGTTTGAGAATAATGGATAATTCTGAACGAATGAAAACACTAAAGACCATTAGCTCAGTTTCCATCTAAGCAGTGTGCTCTATGGTTACACCCTCCCCCCAATTCTTAGCAAGAGCAAGGGTCTGTGGTAGCAAACATCCGCTCATTCTGTTGTCATCTTTTGTCAAAACTCCTGTTGAGCATGGATGGATGGGGAGCCTGTGGTTTCAGCCCTGAGCTTCAGCAAAAAGCGCAGCAGGTGACTCCCGCCCGGATCCTTGGAACTCAGGAGACTGAAATTGCTGAGAGTCTAAGGCCATCGTGGGATATAGAGTAAACTTCAGAAGAGCCTGGGTTGAGGAGTCTCAGAAAGAAATGTTCCCGAGCATGACAGAAATAACCAAGGAGCACAGAGGAGTGTCATACACGTGAGCGTGACCCTAAGAGAAGCTCAGCTTCATTGCTGCCATGTTCTTCACGAGGAGCCTGACACACAGGAAGTGCAACATGTAAAATGGAGGTTATAGTTATCGACTCGAGGCCCCTCCCCACCCTTCCTTTCCCCCCTCCATCCTTCCCTTCCCCCTCTCCCTCCCTACCATTCTTTCATTCTTTCCTTCCTTCCTTCCATCCTTCCTTCCTTCCTTCCTTCCTTCCTTCCTTCCTTCCTTCCTTCCTTCCTTCCTTCCCTCCTTCCCTCCTTCCTTCCTTCCCTTTCAGTAAGATGCTGAGTAGCCCAGGATGGCCTCAAATTTCCAACCTTCCTGCCACAGCTTCCTAAATGGTAGGATTTTATGAACGCACTCATCTGGATTCATACAGTTTGTTGCTGGTGGTGGTGAGGGTTTGCTTGCCTTTTGTCATTTTTGAGACAGGGTCTCACTAAATGGCTGTCCTGGAACTCACAGAACTCCACCTGCTTTTGCTTCACCCAGTTCTGAAAAACTGACAGCTTTTGTTCTGGAAGTCAAAGCAGCAGCCCTGAAAATGCCTGAGTATTTCCAACTCAGTGATTGCTGACCCCCCCCCCCCCACACACACACACTGCAGTTACTGTTTCACCCAGGTGTAGACAACAGCACACTCCTGCAGATAAAGATCAGTTTGTTGGCTTTTCATACTGATTTTTCCCTGCTTGAGCCTGAGCAGTAAGCCAAGAGGCGACTGCTGACTGCTGACATTCAGCAGCTGCGTGGCTTACAACAGCCTCGAAACTCCCAGACGCTTCTTCCAGGTACACGGAGAAAGGTCACACGCACACGCAGACTTACATAAACGCCAAGCAGACACGCAGGTTTCTACTTCACTGCTTTTCATAACATGCCCAGAGGACAGTCATGTGGCAAGGCCCACCCCTCTGTTCTTCCGGCAGGTCAAACTCTAATACAAGACGTGGCATAAGGTATTTTCCTGTGGCTTTGGAATTTTCATTTTCGGCTGTGTGTTGTGTAAAACACGCAAACCTTTATGGTGAGGAAGAAACGTCAGGAAGCTGATTTCTAAAACAGCAAGCTTTAGAAAGTTCTGAGTGTTGTCTGAAGTTTGTTTTCTTCTAGTCTCATTTATTTCAAACATGGTTTCTGTTAAATTTCCTCTGACTCTTTCTTCCCAAACCAAATGAGGCATTTTCCACGGTACCATAAAGAACATCGGTGGTAAGCTTCTGTTCGTCTGTGTTGTTGTGACTGTGCTTATTTCATTCTGGTAGTTTTTATTTACTTTTTCCTTCTGTTTGTGTTTTTTGCACAGGGTTTCATGTTGCCCAGGCTGCCCTCAAACTTGTTATGTATCCAACCTGGCCTCGGACTCCAAGCCTTCTTCCTCTGCTTCCAGAGTGCCGACACTGCAGTATGCGCCAGCCCAACCTATCTTTGCATTTAAGTTTGTTCCTTCTCACTGGGCTGATTGTAAGGTCCACACTTTATCTCTTCATTTCTAGCAACTGGCCTACTGCCCAACATAAAAACACCTACAGAATGCGTGTAGGATTTTATTTTTATAGGGTGGGTAGGCTGGCAAGCACTGGCAAGGACAAGGGTACACAGCACGAACTTTACAATTCTGATTCCTCATCTGTAGAGGTCAAACACTGGGTAGAGCAGGTGCAGCAGACATTTAGGATTTCAGCCCGGTAGATCACAGCTTCCCAGCTGTGAAGGGAGAGTGAGGACCGTCAGGTGCATTGACACCTCAGCTCCCCTTCAGTCCACCTACAGGCCCCTGCACCCTCACCACAGCAGTCCCCCCGATTGCCAGTGCCTTTGTGAAAAGTCCTGGTTGAACAACACAATAGCCCACAACAAACTGCATTAAAAGTGAAGAACTTAGAGGAAAGTTTATAACGAAAAAGAGAAAAATGAAACCAACTGGAAACTGACTTCCCACCTTGCCCTGCTCTCCACTTTCTGTAGTCACTGGAATGCTAATCGTCTCAACACACCCTGAGATAAGCCACCTGTAACTTTAGTCCTTGAAAACCTATAAAAGGGCTGGGCATGGTCGTACTGGTCTTTAATTCTACCACTCTGGGAGGCAGAGGTAGGAAAATTACAAGTTTGAAGCCAGCTTAGGTAATTTTGCAAGATCCTGCCTCAAAAAAACAGCCAAGTGCAGAGTTTGGTTCAGGAAAACCAGATTTCCATAACTTCCAACTGCTCACATGGCAAATTATTACTCAAAGATTGTCTTTCACAGAGCAAGGAAAATCTCTGGTAAGACAATTTTGTTTGTTCAAGGCAGGGTCACACTGTGCAGTTCTGGGTGGCCTGGAACTTTCTGCAGTCTTCCTTCCTCTGCCTCCCAGGGGCTAGGTGGACCCGTGTTTGCTATCATGTCCAGATGTGGATGGTTCATAGTGTCCAAGGTTCTGTCTGGGACCTGATGGATCTACTAGTACCTACTTTATTCAAGACAGAGGGTGGGAAATAGATTTTTGACAAATACCTGTGTGTAAAGGACTGTGTATGGAAGGTTCATTCCTTCAAGTGCTGTCTTTCAGGTGCCACATTAAAAACCCATGCCAACCCATCCAAGGAGGCTGTGCACGCTTTTTCTTCTTTTTCTGAATTCCTGTATGAATGCAGAAAATAAGCTCTGACAAGGCGAGAGACGATAGGACCATGTCACTGATGCCATTTAAAGTTGGGCCACTTCACTGGTAGGGTTCCCACGCTCCTGTGGATGGCCCTGTGTCCACGCACAGAAGGGCTGCCATGACTAGACTCAGTGGCTCATAAAATACATTAAGTTGGGTCTTTTGATTTGTTTGTTTTGAGACAGGGTTGCGTCATGCTTTATCCTCCCCCAATCTCTCTCCCTCCCTCGTTTCTTCTCTCTCTCACTCTTATACCCATCCCCTTTATTGTAAGTAGCACTCCCCTGCCTTTTGGACAGTTACCATCTCTTGTGGTGCTGGGCATTGAACCTGTGGCCTTGTGTATACCAACAAGTGCTCTACCTCCGAGACACACCTCCAGACCTGTACACTATTTGTGATAATATTTAGGTGACTATAGAGAATTTTGATATCAGACTTCTCTTGCATAACAATAGAGAGCATATTAAAAATAGATGCCCAATCTTTTCTCCATATTTCCTGATACAGTGCATCAGATTGGGGGTCCAGGAGTTTGCATGTCGATAATCACCTCAGAGACTGTGACACAAGGAATCCAGTAGGTGCACTTTGAGAAGTTGCTGAGAGCTGAAAATGACACTGCTCTGCACTGCCTGTCTATCTCAGCAGAGCTAAGAGCAGCTGCGTAACCCAATTCCTGCTTCTTGGTGTTTCCAAGTCTTCAGAGGAGGGGCGTGCCGCCATCTGGGAGAGTCTGGGGTGGCAGGCCCTGTGAGTGACAGGAATAACACATACAAGTGAACATAAGGAGGCAGATTGCTGTGAACAGCTTCACAGAGGGCAGGTGTCTAGCCGGGCTTTGAAGAAAAGACAGGGTTCAGCCAACAGTGATGAGGGGACCATTTCAAGATGGTGGGACAGCTGCAGTGTTGAGGAAGCATGAGCACCCATGGGCGACCGTCCGAGCTAGAAGAAGAAGAAAGCACATGCAGTGGGGCTTGCCCCTGGCAAGTCTGGAGTCTCACTGAGTTTGGACTCTATTCTGTACGTACTGGTCCAGAAGACAAGTACAGGCAACCAAGGAAATGCTGAGAACTGGAGAAACAGTCTTCCCCAGGGAAGAGCACACATCGGGTTATCCAATCCCAGATGGTCACCCTGAAAACATATACATAACATTACATGGACTAAGCAGGTTGTATTTACATACTTATGAATGTATTATATATACATACACCATATACATACATAATATGTATAAATGTCTATATAATCTCAACAATTAAAGAAAAATAGGTTATGAATTGGAAAGGGAACAAGGAGGTGGCTTGGAAGGAGGGGAGAATGATCTAATTATAATCTCAATAAGAAAGTACCCTCTGCAAAGGCAGCTGGCCGGGATCGTTAAACTTTTGAGTTGTGATTCATTTCCAAACTGTTAAAGAAGTTTTGAGCCTTCGTGAGGTAGAGTCAACTTACTCTGGATTGGATGAGAGGAGGAGACCTTCTAGCTGCTGATGCAGTCAGAGCTTCCTTGACTGGGAAGATCTGATACAACCTTTTTTTTTTTTCTTTCTCAAGACAGGGTTTCTCTGTACATCCTTAGTTGTCCTGGGACTCCATCTGTAGCCGAGGCTGGCCTTGAACTCACAGAGTGCTGGGATGAAAGGCAGGAGCCACTGACCAGCTGCCTTTTTAAAAAGTCTTTTTTCTATTGGAAATTTCATACAAGTATTTCTTGTACATCAAACTTATTCCCCCCATTAATCCCTTTAAATCCCTTAGCCAACGTCACATCGACTTTTGTTTTGCAAATACATCATGATTTAATGTACCCATGTAAAAATCTAGGAACCACAAACGTGAGGAAACAAGGGATTTATGTCTTGAGACTGGCTTAATCAGTTTAATAAGATCATCTCCAGTTGGATCCATTTTCCTACGAATGATAACTTTGTTCTTTATGGTGGAAAAATTTGTGTATACATATTTTCTTTATCCATTCCTCTGGACACCTAGGTTAGTGCCGTAATTTGGCTAAGCAGATGTTTTGAGTGTAGGTCTACAATTCTACCCGTGCACACTTCTCGATGCCCCTCACTCATCAAGTCAGGCCACTTCAACTCAGTTGTTTTTATTACGTCAAAAGGGAAAGGTGTGGCACTTGCAGGAGAGACTGCAGAGTGAAGGGGACACTGTTGGGGTCACTTACTGTCGAAGCAGCGTATGGAAAGCGCTAACAAAAACTCACACGGACAGTCCTGGCTTTAAATGTAACGTCTAGACGGTATCTCCAGGGAAGAGGTCCGCGACCCCCAATCGGAGAACCCCAACTGGACCACAGAGGACCGAGGGGGGTCACGCGGGGCTAAGTTCGAGACGGGAGGCTGCTTCTCAGAGGGCGTGCACTCGCAGGCGCCTCTCAAGTGGCAGAGGCGACTCCCCAGTCGCCAATTCCGCGGTTTAGGACCGGACAGGACGAAGGCCCGCCCACGAGCCCAGCCCCGCGCTCCGATTGGACAGGCCCTGCCCCGCCCCCGTCCCGCTGACGCAACCCTGGGCGCCCCGTCCTCGCCCAGGTCCCCGTTGGCGGGATGCAGAGGACGCGCCTCTCCTTCTGGACTGCCCGGCTGCCTTTCCCTCACGCGCTGTCTGAAGGGCGCGGAGCCGAGCGCAGGCGGACGCGACGGCCCCGGCGGCGCGGCGCTTCCCCTCGCCTTCTCCTCCCGAGGGCGGGCTCCGCAGTTGTGACGCACGCGGCACCGCGCAGCGCCTTCACTTGTGATTGGTTGTGGCCCGCGTCTGTCACGCAGCCCCTCCCTCCCGCCCTCCCGGCCCGGGACTCCTGACTGGCACCCGGGAGGCCGCGCCCCGCCCCGCGCGCCGCTGAGCCCTGCGATTGGCCGAGGGGACTGGCATGCTCTCCCGCCCCGGCCCCCTCCGGAGCCTCCGCGGGCTGGTGGGACCCCGCGGAAGTTGTCAGTCAAACTCCTCCCCGCACCCCCCGCGAGGCCCTCCCCGGGGCCGCGCGAGCGCGCACGCACGCGCACCGAGCCCCCGGCGCCCGGACCAGCCGCCCGCCCGAGTTGTAGCAGTCGCTCGCCCGGCGTGCTCCGTGGGCGGTCGGTGGGCGCGTGGGGGCGAGCGGGGCGACGCTGCGAGGACCCGGGCGCGGGCGGCCGCCCCGGGCGATGAGGGGCCGGCGCTGACAGCGGAGCGGGCGCTCGGCGGCGGCTCGCGCGGACCCGCGATGGAAGCGCCCCGGG